GATTTCAGAGTTAAAGGACAAAAGAAGCTTAAAATGGACAAAATAAACGTCAAGAAAAAAAAGACTTATGACATTAAAAAAAATTATAAAAAAAGACAAAGTCCAAACAATAATGATAAAAAGAAGACTATTCTAAGTGTTCAAATTTAAAGTGTAAGTCTGAACTAAAAATAAAGTTTAAATATAAGTCACATTTAGGTTTTGTTAGACAAATAAATAACTCAAATTCCAATTTAAAGTTCATTCACAAATCTTAGATAAGCTAGTTCACATTTAAAGCTTATTCACAAAGTAAGAATAAAATGCTAACACGTTTCTATACTTTCATTAGCGCGTCTAACTACGCACATAATTTTATATGAAATCAGTTGGTTGTGGACATTTCTCAGTAATCAGCTATAAAATAGTTATGAATGACTGTAAATCTGAAAATTAATTTGCAGACTAACGTTGTTCTAAATGTCTAATTTATGGGATTATAGTAGCTAAATATTTATGCCATGTTATAGTGGCCGTGAATATTCCAGAAAACAATTAAGGTGACTAAAGTAATTAAACATCTTTTCCATTAGGATATATACTTTTATGGTACACTATTGTATTCATAATAAAGAGTGAAAATTATGTGGTTGTCTAAAATAATCTACATATATGGATAAACAAAGAGACAAATAAGATCTGGTACATGCTGGAGAATCTTGGATGAAGATATCTGTGAGATGCAACTTAAAAATGGTATCAACTCAATCATCATCATCTTCTTTCAACTTTTTGGTGTGGGATTACAAAAAAACACACGCTTCTTTTACTTTGGAAAATCTATAATATATTTGTTTTCTAAAGCCAAATATTACTTATATTAAAAATCAGAGATCGAAGTAGAGAGATAGATGGATTAGTTTTGCAAGTTGAGCATGGCTCTGCCCATGATCTTATTTCCGAGACTGAGATGTGAGTGCTGCTTAGAACAGATAAAGTTGGATATGGCTTTACGGTTATTAGGATCAGTCAAGCAAATGGACCTAGCACATGCTTGAACACTATCATTTTATCTTGAATTATTAAAAATCCCATTTTTAGTTATTTTCTTCATATTTCTCTTAAGATTATGCCTTTTGCACTGACTTATTTAATACATTCAATATCCGATAATTAAATATCAGACTTTTAGAGTACATAATATACTAATAAACCTACTCTTCAGTTTTCTTCTATAAGAAATTTTTAAAACCTTTTAATGATCCTTAGGATTTTTTTAATAAAGTTTTAGCAATATTTTTTTTATATTTATCCTTCATAGATATTATTAAATTTATTTAACTTCTAAGCTATTAATATGACAATTGAGTTTATTTTAAATAGAAATAAATTTGAAATTTATAATTATTTTTTAACAACTAATAGTTTAACTAATTTTAACAACTTATCTTATTTTATGTAATTCAGTTAAAAGAGACTTACAAATAGGACCAAAATAAATATATTTAAAAAAAGAAAAAATATTTTATAAAGAAGTCAATTAAAAATATTTTTTATTTAAAAATATATTTATATTTAATAGCCAATCATACTTTGACGTAGATTGTTTTCAAAGAAGTCCTAAGCCCTAAATATTCAAATAAAAAAAGTAATCAATAGTTAAAAAAATGGCGTAGATTATTGTAAAATGATTTGATTATATAAATTATAAAGATCATATAAATTCCTTTTTTGCAATGCCAATACGAAATGAGCTATGTCTTGCGTAATTGTGTTCCACAAAGACCTTGAATAGTTTCTATATTCTAATGTAGATATTTTTCCAAAAAAACATTCTAGGATCGAAAAGTAGAGACAATATTAAAGAGAAAAGAGGAACGTATGCATGATTGTTTTGTCATGAATAAGCATGGATTCGATCCGTGGGATAATTAGACAAACACCAGTGGGTGAGCACAGCTACACTTACCACAAAAATGACCATGGATACCACATTTAATTAAAGAGATTAATTAAATTCTTAATTAATAAAAATGTGTCATATAAGAGTTCATCACACAAAATTAATTATAAAACTTGTCAAAAATAAATTAAAACACTTATTTTGATAATTTATAAAAATATATTAAAAATAATTTATAATGTTTTATAGTACATATTCTTTTAAAAGTGTTGAGGTATATATGATATGGTGGGTAATGTTGCTGAGAAGTGGTTTGGGTGACAACTAATTAGGGTTTTTTCACCCTTTGAGAGGACCATACTTAGTGTCAGGTCATGGCTGTAGCAAGTGACTTCTAATGGGACCCTCTGGTCGCTCATGTAATTAGCATTTGGACCCCACACATCATAGGGTATGTGCTTACCCTTTTGAATTTTTTGCAGCCTCCATCGGTTTTAATTGGATCATTGGGTCATTGTAGGAAATAGCCTTTTCTTTGTCTTCATCCTCTGCATGTGTCACCATTTACATCGCCTTCACCCCCCTTAGGTCAAAGACATGAAAGGAATTTGAAAAATTAGTTAACGGCTTGATTTCTCAAAAATTTGTATTTTTTAGTTTTTAGTTTTTGTTTTTTAATTTAATTCTCTTAAATATTATTAATTTTGTATTTGATCCCTTTAAATATCATGGTTTTTATATTTAGTCATCATCAATATCATTATTTTTTATTATTCTTCTTAAAATTAGTAATTTTATAAAAAAAAACTATGATATTCAAAAAAAATAAAAAATCATTTTGCAACAAACATAATTTATGAGAGACTCTTTTAATAAAACTTAAATATGAGAGACTGAATCAGAAAGGATCATAATTTTTTGATCCAAGGATGAAAATTTTAATTAAAACTAAATTGATATATCAATTGTGTTCATAAGAAAACACAGTTAATGTAAATCGTCGAAAATTCTTAGTCACGTGTACAAAAACAATTTTATTGGACAGAAAAAAATCTACTTCAATAATTTTTAACTTTGAAAAAGATTAGCAGTGTCGACTAAAAGATAATTTAGAATACCAAAAAATAAAAGACTTAAAACATATTTGTAAAAACTATTTTCTGGAACTCTTTCCTCTTTAAAGAAGATAAATTTTTGTTTTCATTTTTCAACTTTTACAACCCTTACACAATTGTTTCAAACCTACAAGCAGCTAATAGAGTTTCTAATTATGTGCAATAAATTTTACAGTCCATTATGACTACGATTTATCATTATTACCTTGTTGAATACGCCCCTCGAAGTTAAATTGTCCATTACTAAGCTTCTTGAAAATTTAATTAATTAGCAATAGCGAACAACCATATATATGTTTTATTAACATTTTTTCATATACAAAATAAATGCTTTTCCATTTTCAGAGAATGTGCTGAATTATCATTGATCAACATGATTTGAATAAAAACCAAGTCATAAATAAGAAATATCAAAATATAATAAATTATATTAGTATTTTCAAGCTCAAGCCCCTTCAGTACTAATAGATTTTACGCTAAATATAGTAAAGAGTATTTAAACAGTATAAGGGGAATACCTTTTTAGTAATACATAGAGTATAGACTATATGGAGATGAAAATCAAATAAGAGCAATTACTAATCTCGGGTGTCAACAACACCCATATGGTTCTTTATTGAATCTCATCCAACACTTTTGTTGTAAGATATTAGATATTGATTATGCATATTGATTTTTTGATAAATTATATATTAGTAAATGTAAAATTTTATAAACTTATTTATATAAAATTTTCAATCTAATAGTTAAATTGATGAAATTTAAAATTATTTATAAAATTATTTATATTTTAATTTGTATATTTTTTAATTTATTAATTATAGTCACTAATTATTGTTAAATAGTTATGTGACTAATTTAGATATTATCACATGTCAATTTTAAAGTGAAGGTGTTGCCTTTTTATAAAATATATTAGTAAGAGGAGACAAAATAAAAAAAAATAAACATTAGAATAGAAATAGGAAAATACAAAGATGCATTTTAAAAAATGAATATCATATTCAAGCTTATATATATATATATATATATATATATATATATATATATATATATATATAATTTAGTACCAGGTCATAATTAATCTTAAATTATGTGCACACTCTAAATAATATAAAAAAAGGGATAATCAATTTGTTTAATTATAAAGCGCTTATAATGTTACAGAAAGGAGATTATTATCTTTCACGCGTTTAATACCCGATTCATTTTAATATGTTAAATATTCTGAAATATTAATTGACTTAAAACTTGAAGTATTTTAATAGTTATAAGCAGAAAAGTGTCATAGTTTTGAAAAATTAACTGGCATAGTTGCATAAACAGAGAAAATTAGAGGCCATTAAGATGAAGAATAAAGTTGAAATATATACACACACAACACACTAACATAATGATGAGCCATGGCATGACTAATAATGATGCATTCTTACCATTCTGATGGTTGAAAATTAAAAGTGGGTTTAAGGCGTGGGGCCCAGTGGATTAGCATGGTAATTTTCTTGTTAACATAGGCAATGGGAGTGCTGTATGCGCAACAAAAGCAGGAGACTAAAACCTTATCTCCACTGCCACACCTCACACTTATCATTCCAATGGACCCTTTTTCTTTCCTAACACAAACCATAAAATCATAATCAGTGAAAAATAAAATATATTTTATAAGAACAAAAGAAAGGGGAAAAAAGAAATACCACAGTTCTCTCAGCTCTCACCCACGTGTCAACCCCTCCACCATTTGGAATCCCACGTGTCAACCTCTCAAGGGCCAGAATTCCAGTTCACGTCATCATCACATACCAACCTCCTCTCCATACACCCGCAGCCACCTCATTGCACAGTGTCAATCCCACATCGTCAAAAGACCAAAATGCCCCGGAGTTCCCACACGTCTCGAGACAATTGGATGGAAAATTGAACCCGCACGTAGCAGATCCTTCCCCACTCCCGTACCGGTATAAAACATGAGGTTCAGTCTTTGTGGGGTAACAAAAGCTACAAAACATTTCGTCCTAACTAACATAACATGTTCTTCTGTGGAAGCCATAGCCATAACCATAACCACCACTTGAACCCATCTCAGTAAAAAGAAAAAGCTTCGTTTTCGTTACCATGGAAAGCACCGACTCATCCACCGGTTCACAACAACCGAACCTGCCACCAGGGTTTCGGTTCCACCCCACCGATGAGGAACTCGTCGTTCACTACCTCAAGAAAAAAGCGGCTTCAGCTCCTCTTCCTGTAGCCATCATCGCCGAGGTTGATCTCTACAAGTTCGATCCATGGGAGCTACCCGGTAGGTCCAATTTCAACAAAGGAATACAAAGACTAAAACTTTACGTTCAAAACCAAAATGGGTATGTCTTGCTTTGTTCTTTTTTTGTTGTTTTATCATAATTTATTGTTGTTTGGTTTTGCAGCTAAGGCCACGTTTGGGGAGCAAGAGTGGTATTTCTTTAGTCCAAGGGATAGGAAGTATCCGAACGGAGCGAGGCCAAACAGGGCTGCCACGTCAGGGTATTGGAAGGCCACTGGGACGGATAAGCCGGTGTTAACCTCTGGTGGAACCCAAAAGGTTGGGGTGAAGAAAGCTTTGGTTTTCTATGGAGGGAAGCCCCCAAGAGGGATCAAAACCAATTGGATCATGCATGAATATAGGCTTGCTGATAACAAGCCTAACAATAGGCCTCCTGGATGTGACTTGGGCAACAAGAAAAACTCCCTAAGGGTAATTAAATAAGTCTAGTTTTTTACATAATTTTAATATCATTTTTAATTTAAATTTAAACTTGATTTTGATAACTCGCACAATAAAATTTATTATTTAAAAATAGTGAAACTGTCAAAATAAAATTTTTATTTTAACCCAAAATAATGTAACAATTACTTGAAAAATCTATTTAAGTTTTGTCCATTAATTAAACTATTTTTTTCACACAATATTTGCTTTGTTCTGTTTCTACTATTATTATTATTATTATTATTATGTTGCCTTCTCTCTCTGCTGCGTTGGATTTCTGAATTATGTACTTTTGGATTTTGTGTTGATGAGAGTAGCTTGATGATTGGGTGCTGTGCCGAATCTACAAGAAGAGCAACACGCATAGGTCTCCTATGGAACATGACAGGGAAGATTCAATGGATGACATGATGGGAGGGATACCCCATTCCATCAACGTGGGCCACATGAACGCGAGGTTTCATCTTTCAAAGATGTCCACAGGCTACAACGGTGCATTGTTGGAAAATGACCAGAACTTATTGGAAGGGATGGTGATAAGTAATGGAGGGATGAACACAGCTACTACTACTACTACACATGCTGCCATGTCATCTTTGGGGCCCTCCAATTCCAAGCCAGAGCTTCCTTTTGTCCCAACCATGACTCAGTCTTCAAACACTTCCAAGAGAACACTCTCATCACTGTATTGGAATGATGAGGATGTGGCAGCAGGAACCTCTTCATCCAACAAAAGGTTCAATTTGGAAAGTGGGGATAATAACCATGCAAGTGTTGTTAGGACTGAAGAAAATGGCACTGCTACTTCTATTGCAACCCTGCTTAACCAGCTCCCTCAAACCCCTTCATTGCACCAACAATCAATGCTCGGATCATTAGGTGATGGGCTACTTCGGACACAATATCAAATACCAGGAATGAACTGGTATGCTTAGTTCAATTTCAAGGAGATATTGAAACTATAAGAAGGATCCTCAGCTGGTGATACCTTAGACAGTACTATTCTCTTGATCCTGCCAATTAGATTGTAAAGATTTTAATGGGATATTGAGATTTTGGTTGTTAGGAATTTGGAAGCAATTGTTAGAGTTTAATCAATTAGATGTGCCTCATCGAACTTCTTCAACCATTGGAAACTAGGAAGCTGCAGGCAATAACAACACAAAGGTGAGGCCATGGATATATTTAGTTATACTTAAATATAGCTTTATACATATATAGATATTTGCTTGTTTTATTGGTATGTAAATAAAAAATGGTGGTGCTCTCTTCATGTACAAATATTCACAACAGAAAAGAGATATTTCAAATTAGCTGTTATATATTTATATATATTTATACTTTGATTTAGGATACAAAAATGAGCCTTGTGTAGATCATATTACTGTAGAATACGATCGATTGATATAAGAATTGAAAAACAAATAGTGACGTCAATGTATTGTATATTGTTCTCTCAAGAAATTGATATATTGATTAAATTTTCGTTGGTTTTATCTGTGAATTATTATGCAGGTTAACACAATAGTAACGGGACTTTAGTTTGTTTAATTAATTGTAATATATGGTAACCAATTCTCAATCACGTCTCTGCATGTAACCTAGCTAGAAGGTTGTTAGTCTCATTCACATCTTTATCCTTTTGCCCAGAATTATTCCAGACGAATCTAATTGAGTTGGAACATGTGTATCAGTAAATAAACACATATAAAGTATACAATATTAATTTGTTTGTTATGAAATAATTTTCACCACGTCCTATGCGACGTAGGAAAATCTATATTTTTAACTTGTTAACTAGGGCCTTTTCTGGTTTTTACAACTTATCACGTGCACTACTCAACTTTAAACTAAAATTGTTCTGATCAATAACTTGTATTCTATATTTGATAATACGATATTTGTCTTATTTTTATATTAAGTTAAAAAGTAATTGTAAATAAAAAAATATCGATACTTGTAAGTTACGATTCATATTTTTCTTATGCTTGATACATAAAAAACAATAAATATGTTAATCATCCCCCTTCACCTATTAGTGGATGGTGATGCACTACTGCCAATAGAAAATCGAGTTAATTAAATTAAGCTTGTCACATTATTTATCTAATTGATATTAAAGAGTTATGGCTTGTGATGCGATTATTCCATGATTATGAGCTCCTAGTTTTCGTGCTGTCTATTTTTGTTTCCCTATTTTCTCCCTTCTAAAAATGTCATTGACTCGTACAACCATATCTCAGGATAAATTGCCCATTTTCTTTTTTCACTGCAAATCCAGTACATAGAAATTCACACAGATAATTCAAGTATGCCTCATCTCCAGAAAGTCTGACACTTCACCCTACCTAATCCTAATCAATTTGACATGCGCGCCTCAAAGTTCTAGATGACGTGTGTGTGCGCGTTAATAGTCAGAAAATATCATATTAATTTGTGAGAATTCATTAGTGACAACTAGATAGTAAAAAAGCAATTGGAAGAATTGGTTTAACAGTATAAAATTTAAACTCTATCGTGTAAAAAATTGGTATAACATTTAAACTATGAGGGAATATTAATTTTAATACCTGAAAAAATAGTAAAAAGATAATAATGAAGTTTTTTAACTGTAATACTATTGCTCCTAGAAGAGAAAATTAGTGAATATATTGATATAATAGGACAAGTCATAGGACATACACAGGGTCTCATTCCTTGCAGGATAGATTCAAGCTTGAAAACAAACAATTTCACATCAGCAAACCAATCACTAAACACTTGCGTTGGATACATCAATTTCCTGACAGAAGCCCACACAGTTGCAATCCCAAATTTTTCTAACCTGCACTTTCAATAAGCAGAACATGGTCAATAATAGACCAATACTCATGAGAGGAACAAAAATTATATACTGAAGGAGAGTGTGGTCACAGAAATAGTTAAGTTGAATATTATTATTCGTTTAACCTTTATACTTATTAGTTTTGCACCTACACCAGCTATGATTTAATCTGAAAAGGGTATGAAGATATTTGAGCATGGGTGTCATTTTCTTTCGTGGGATTGATAAGACGTAGTTAAGTATATTCCACCAGCCAGAGGTCACGCAAATAGACAACAAAGTCGACCTCACTAGCAGCTAGCTTTCTTTCTGGCTTGACTCTAAGGGACCATTCTTGTTATCATATAAAGGAATCATTATCCTAATGCCACACAAATTTAATACCCTTTTAATTGCATTCCTTTCTGAGGAAAGAATACAAATCAACTTTATAAAATTTAGCATCATTTGTGCTTCGTTTTGGAATAGATATCATAACGATATATTGCACTATTATTGCTGTTGGTATGCTTGAGTTGTGCATGATGCTTTCACAGCCTAAATGTATCATATCTGATCCATGAATTATGCAAATCTTTTATTAAAAACAAGAGAGAGAGAGAGAGAGAGAGAGAGAGAGAGAGAGAGAGAGAGGCATATACCCGCTCCTAAAGTTATGCAGAGGGATGAATTTTGGAGAGAACAAGAAAAAAAGGACAATTATTTGTTTTTTTTAAATGAAATAGTTATACGATATTTATAAAAAAAAAATAAGGTGCTGCGTTAAATTCATTTAAATTTATAGTTTTATTATTTTATCTTAAAAAATTGAATTATAAGATTTTTATGTGAATAAAAATTCTATCTTTGTTTTTTTCTTTCCCAAAATATAATAACTCTTAAATATACCCTGAGGAAAAAAGAGAAAGAGAGAGATGGGTAGTCCCCTATAGCCTACCTGTATGTTCTCAATATAAAATTACTTTATCAACTCATACATATTGAATTGAATCTGTATGTTCACTCTTAAATTAAAAGATTTTTAACATTTTGTAAAATAAATAATGACTATTCTTCTATATTATTAAGTAGCTCATAATTTACTTTTTTATATTTTTAATATTATTACTTAAATTTGTCAATTTTAATTTGACTTATAACTTTTTTATACACCATAGCAAATTCACAGGCATACATGATTTTCTAAATTAAATATTTTTTATTTTTTTATCTCAATTCAAAATCTTCTCTTTTTAATTCATTTCTGTCAATTAATAAAAATGTAAGTTTTCTTAAGTCACACTGAATATAAATTTTATTTTAATTTTTTTAATATGAAATTTTACCATTGTTTAACTATGACAATATTTTTATCTTTTATAATTATATTTTTTATTTATATTTTTAAATTTTTGTTGAATATTTTAAAATATTCAATATTATATGAAAAACTTACTAATTTCTAAGTCTCATTTCAATTTTTCGAAAATCAAAATGCGCCCAATTTTCTTTAAATGATTTTAATACTGATTTAGTTTCTAATCGTATGAAGTGTCGTCAAAATTGTCTTTAAATATACGTATTTCTATATTAAGAAACCAAATGGATGTCATTTTTTTTATCAATAAATTAATTAATATCCAATTTTGTATATACAGTATGATTAAAAATCTAAATTAGTGTTACGATTTAAAAAAGATTAATTAACATTACTTTATTTAAAATATTATGAATATGTTTAAAATAACTTATAATTTATTTAATTAATTTATAATCTTTTTATCAAAATAACAGTATTTTATAAACAAATTTATCCCATTAATTTATAGTATTTTAAAAAAAAGTATTTGTTTGAGCATATAAGAACTATAGGTTTATTATATTTTTATTTTTATCTTTAATACTTTCACAAAATTATTTATTTACCATTTCTTTTAATATTATATTACTTATTTTAATAGCATATCCTTTAGTATTATAATATTTATAGTAAATCTTTAATAAATATTTTATCTGTAAATAGAAAAGATAATATTTTAAAATTAACTAAAAAGACCTAAAATTATAATCACCTAAAAATATTATTTTTTCCATAAATACAAATATATTAAAAATTATACAAACATGTCTTTTTATATCATTTTATATTTATCAGTTAAATCAATAAATAATTTTATTAAATATTGCTAATTTAAAAATTTAATTAACAATTTTTAACTATATTATTTTTTAACCTTTTAGATATTTTAATAGCTATTTTTTCCAACCATAACGAAATTTGATATTTATTTTCTCTGGAGGATCCAAATTATTATACTTGTACGTCTTTGGGGGAAAAAATAGATTACTTATAAACCAAGAGAATGGTGATGAATATTTCAAAGACTAACGCAATAATATGCATGTAGACATGCATAATATTGTCTTCATCATCTAAATCAACTCTAGCTAAAACTATTTTACCGTAAAATAAGAGCATAAAAATTGGAAAAAGTTTGAGATGAGGAGAAAGATACAATAGTTTTTGACTTGTTGCATTTAAGTTGATAACTGAGGGAATCAGTGTGTTCCCTTTCATGGATGGACTTTGCTGAAAAGAAGAGAATGAAGGTCTGTGAATCTTGATTGATGGGTTCCCGCGTATCCAGCCAATTACAGATACCATACACCCTTTTGGTTAATTTCAATCTTTAGACTAATTTTAAGTATTTAAAATGCTTTGTTTATTCAAAATTATTTATTATATTAAAAGTATAATAAATATTTTTAATAAAAAAATATTATCATTAAATATTTAAATTCAATTTTAAAATAATTAAAGCTAACATGTTTAATAATAATAATAATAATGATGAGAAAGGAGTGAATTAGCAACAAGTCAAATTTGGCACTGCCCCACCAGCAGAGAGCACAGAGGTCAAGTTCCCCCTCTCCCACTGAAATAAATTGTTTATATTAGGTCTCTCCTGCCTTTGGCAACATGCAACCCTGCATCAGTGGGTAGAAAAGGAAAATAAATGAAAGCAAAATAATTAGAACCCACTTTTGGATATACATAATAGAGTGTGACAATCATAGAAGTTGTACTATGCCTTCCAATTATTTGCAAAAAAATCTTAGATGAAGATATTCTAAAAGAAATAAAAAGACTAAAGCTGCAGCCAGGATGTCTTAATAATAATAATAATAATAATATAATTAGTTTTATTATTTGGTTTAAAAAATTGTAGAGATAAAAGAATTTAATTATTTAATAAAAAATTAATTTACTCAATTTATTATATTTTTCTTTGACCTTGGACCTTGGACTACGGTTAAACTTTTTATATGAACAAAATCTATTAATAAAAATAACAATGAATATTATTTTAATATATTGTATAAAAATATAAAAAAATTCCTTTCTCTTTAGACAAGTAGATAAAAACAAAAAATATATATAAATATTAAAAGTCAAATCAATATTTATTCTTTAAGTAATTAAAATGTTCGTATTTAATTTTTTTTTAATATGGGATCATTGAGACATATTAAAAAAAAGAAGAATACATAAAGAGGAAGTAGGTGGCAGTGGGTTGGATCGAAAGAGAAGAACAGTGAGCAAGTGAGGTATTGGTTTTCCCAAACATGACCCAATGTGCCCAACAATTAGCCAACTAAGCATTTCAGATGGGACTTAGCTGTATGTCGCATTTTGTGATCAAAAATTGGTGCATGCAATTACACACAGCAGATATGATATGTGGAGGCTGATTCTCTTCCATTATACAAAAATTTATAATAAGATTTCCATTCCCATTTGCATTCTCTGTCATCATGTGGCCTCCATCAATGTCAAGTGGGCTTGCTGGCCCAGTGCCAGTTATGACCCTTTTGTGAACGTTCTGACTAGCTCCAGCTCCAAAACGTGAGAAAGAAGAAAATAGCCAATTAGATTAGGAATAATCATCAAACGTTCGAATTTCAAATTCGTGTGTCAAGCACTAGTTAATTGACCAAATTCCAAGTACACACACGCCAAATGAGTATTGGTCAAAAATCATACATTTTGGTCACTTACTCTCTCCCCATTTATTTATTTACACACAAACACACACTCTTTCAATTCAACCTCTCCATTACCAAGTCTTCTAACTGGTCAAGCATTCCAAACCCAAACAAAGGTTCACGAACCTTCCCTCATTCTTTCAATATAAATCCCCGAATTTTCAGAAGCTCCTCCAAACCCAAAACTAGAACTTTGAAAAAAACACACACCAAGTTTCCCTTTCCTAAAATTCCTTCATATGATGAGAGAAATGGAAAATACCCTTCAGCTACAAACCAAAGAAAGTTTACAACTTCCACCAAAGATGGGTGAGATCAGTGATGGTCACAAAAGGGGTTACTTGGCCATGACTCCCCGGTCTAGACCAGCTTGCACATGCTCGAACCGGCCCGGTTCGGTTCGGTGCGCGCGGCACGGGTATGTGGTGCCAGGGGAGAGATTGAAGAAGCGCGTGGCGAGTAAAGAAATTCTGAGAAGGGCACTAACGCCACCACCAAAACGTTTAGCCCTTAGATGGTTGAATTTCAGACCAACCCCTAGCAGGCTTTCTAACATGTCCATGGCTTGATTCTCTCTCTCTCTCTCTCTCTTTTTTTTTTCTTCTTTGGATGTTTGTATAATTGAGTTTAACAATCCAATGAAATTAGAAATTAGATTATTCTATATTCTTTATAAAGTTTCATTTTTTTGCAATAGGGTAATTTAGTTATTGAAAGCTGGAATTGTCTACATGTATAGGCTCAAATTTTTGTATATGATTTGCCGTCACTTGCTCTAATTCAAGTTGTGACGGTTAAATTGTATGAAGCTGGTGGTTTATGGGTGTATTAATTTTTGCTTTGTCAGAATCACAGCTTTGGTGACAGCGATGACAATTATTGTCTGTCCCATAATAATTACAGGAATCAGAGATATTCTTTCAATAGTTTTGGTGGAAATTTTTTTGACAACTTCCCATATGGTGGTGTATTCATGTCGTGGTTGTTAGACACGTTTATAAAGTATGGTAGCAGCATATTTTTCTTCATTCACTTTATCAAGATTTACTGTGGTAGCAGCTACTATAATGTTGTTGCACACACAACAAATCTGTAGTTTTCGGGGCATTTGATTTCGAATTGTGCAGGAATGTTAGATTTGTCCCGTTCTTCTATACCTAAGCTTTATTCCTTTGATCTTTTCTTCTGATTTTCTAACAAGAGAAGGGTGAGAAAAGGATAGGAGATGAGAATCTTTAGATTACTGACACCAGCTTACAGCAATTTCATTTGAACTGGCACACAGAATCTAATGACAAATGAACATGTTCAAAATCTAAATACACCTCAAATATAAAATACAATTATTGGTCATTCTGTATGTGCTTGATACATTCCTGGAAATCTTAGATAATTTCTTATGTATAGGAAATGAAGCTATGTAAATTGCTTATTTTCAATTGTTTAAAATAATCAACTATAAATATAAGTTAAAGAGTATTAAAAAAGTATCTATTGAAGCATTCCTTTAAGCATAAATTTAACTCAAGGAATGCTGGTAACTTACTCTACACATTCTCTCTAAAGAGAAATATTAATTAAAGAGTAAGAAAGGGTGAGTCATAGATATTTTTTGTAACTTTAAATAAATGTTAACTGATAATAAAGTGTGTATTACATAGAGTATATTGCTAATATTATTCATTAAATTTTAGCATGAGATGTGTTATTCTACATATCCTAGTTATGTGGAAAATTTGGTAACAGAGAAACAAATGCTTTTAGGAGTGTGTACATTTCTTCGGTCTGTGTGAAGTTCAACATTAATCAGATCGACGAGAAGGTCTTGTATCCTCTAATTGAAGAATTAAAGACGTGGACTATCAGCATTAGAGAGTTAAGTGTTGATGGTAATGAATATTGTTAAGGAAGTCTATTCTTTACATATCTATGATTTCGGATATGGCTCGTGTAAAGTGAAATTTTAATTTAGAAAAAAAAATGAGATGTTTTAACCAATGATGATAAAAAGATTGGATTCTAATAATTTCCTCTATTATTATATAAATATGTTTAAATTCTGCTCGAAAGTCTCGTAGTTGTGTATTTTATATATATATATATAATACTTTCTAACAATTTATTTTGTTTGTACTAATATTTCATGTTAATATAGACCTATATTATTATTATTGAATAACATCCCTTATTTATCCTTCTAAAGTGAAGATTTCCCTGCCAAAGATTGATTCTTAAAAACCAAGAATTTTTGTTGTTCAGGTCATAATGTTTCACTAAATTCTTGATTATCTTGATAAATAATTATTAATTTTACACTTGTCTCTTTAAAATGTATTTTCCATTTTAGAAGGTCCAATTCAGATAAGTCTATTTCTTAACTCAGCAAAAGGGGTAGGACCGTAATCCATTAAATGTTAAGCTAATACGTTAATATGTATTTTATGACCTCACCAATGTTTGTATAAACTAATATAATTAGCTAATTTTAATTTAGTAAAACTCTAATTTGTTATTTTTTTATATTGATTTGTTAAATTTCATGTGGATTAATTCATCTAGTTAACCCATCTGCTTGAGTGCTTGGAGCCTTATTGAATTTTTTTTTATATTATTTTTTTGTATGTCTTCTTGCTGCTTGGCAGCTAGACCACTTCAACACGTCTCTATTCCAGCGTTTATTTCATTGCAAAATTATTATATTATATATATGGAAGAAATAGTCCCTAGAAAAAATAAGATCATTTAAAACGTGCAAAACTTTGTTATTAAATAAAGTTTTAAATTTATATTTTGTTATATAATTAAAATTTCTCAATCAAAATTTTAACTTCAGCATATTATTGTAAATATTTCTAATTCAAGAAAGTTTTGGTTAGATTAGCTAAAAAGTATCACATCCGAAACCAGTCAACCTAAATTAATGATATTTCAGACTCATTTAAGTAAACAACCTTTAAGCATTCATTCATTCAATTAAAACATAAGAGATTATAAGTTTGATCTTAAAATTATTGAAATAAATCCAGAAAAAGGTATAAGATACTTTTATAAGTTTATAAACTATTGTAAACATCTCGTTGCTTAATTTTTATTTTATTTGTTTTTTACAAAATTCAAACTAAACCAAAAACACACTCTCAATAAATATTATTTGTGTGTTCTGTTTAGTGAAAAACGTAAACATTATTTCAAAGAGGAAAAAAAACATTAGAAAGTGAAAATTTGTGACAGGTTGAATGTCAAAGGAGAACATTTTAGACGTGGTCAACGATGAAGAAACATGAAGTTGTGACTCATGTTTTGCTGGCTACAGCCACGAAAGAGCATAAGTTGTGCTACATCAACCTCATGACCATATTATGAAAAGTAAAATGTAATAATTTTTATACTAAAAACGAAACTGTCTAATAGATTGAGATTATAAAAGCATATTAAATACCATTCTTTACAATAAAAATGTACTATTTTTAAATACTTAAAATAAACTTCAAGAGTTGAGAACAAGTTATAGAAATATTTCAAAAAAGAAAAACTAAAGGAAGACTATACTACTGGTGTTGATTGGTTCACTGGGTTGTGGAATCATCAACGGGGTGCCAATATCTATTGAAAAACCACATGCAATCAGCTTCAACGGCATAGTCATCTTCATTTCGGTGCCAGGTATAGTGAGCATGTGTTCTGTTCTTTATTTCGAACATTGCATGTCCAAAACTGGCTTCCCTGAATGCAGAGTACTTAGGCTGTGGCTCTGTCATGCTGCAATGCAAAGAAAAACACAAATCATTAATCAAACTAAACATGACATAGAAGGCACAGGCCATTAATACAAGAAGGAACCAAATTTCTATAGAGCTTACTTTCTTGCTAAGCCTTCAATGTTCCCTCCATCACCAATGTTTATGTATACAGGAGCTGACTCATCCTTCACTGGCATGCATTCACCATTCACAATGTTGTATGCAATATTGGAGATACGTTCCTGATATTGTAACACATACAATTTGGTTTTTACCACATGTACTTTAGAATCATTTTGGGTAGGAAAATGAAAAAATAGTCGAATGATGCAATAAAATTATTTCAATATTCTTAGGAGTTTTGTTTTAGAAGAAAATTTAAAGTATAATATTTTAAGTGGTTGTAATATTATTCTTCAATAAAAATCAGAGCTTCACCTTGGTTATCTTACCCATATGGATTACCAAAATTAAACTCCAATTTTGATAGAATAATGTTACAAACACTTTAAGTAATAACACCTTAGTTTTGTTCTTTGTTTTATGATTGACCCAAACTGATTTGAGTTCAAATTGAATAAACTAATTTAATCTAACTTGAATAGAAAACTTTATTTAATGAGAATCAAACACAATTAACCAAGGCGAGTTGTAACTTTAGAAATGTTAAAGTTGTAATATGATATTTTTATTAGCACTTACAGATCGTTCATAGGCATGGACGTGACCGGCAAACACAACATCAACCTTGTACTTTACAAACCAAGCCTCAAACATAACCCTCATGCTTTCCCCTTCCATGTAATGATAAGTGTAGCTATTATACCATGGCGAATGTAGAAGAACAATCAACCAAGGAGTCTTAGTTCTATCAACCTTTGGTAGCTCTGCCTCAAGCCATTGATATTGGGGTGTATATTTGCCTGAAAAAGGAAAATGGTGTTAGTGAGAAACCTGAGGAAGCATCTACAAATGGCTGCAATGGGAATTCCACTTTATCTCTTCTTCCTCTCATGAATGATCATGTAAGATTCTGATTGTTTCCTTTCAAATTCATCTAAATTTGTAACAAATTATTCGTGGTAAATGCTGAAAAATTATCATTTTTGAATAATTATCTTCAATTTTAAGAGCCGAGGTTAATATTTTTCTGTAACTTATAACATACATGTAATTCACTCAATGTTGAATTCTGCTTTGTAAGTTATAAACAAGAATCTTTTAAGCAGCAGTTGAAGATTATAACAAGGTAATATCAAGAGAAATTTTTTTTGGCCATGTCAAGAAAAATGAATGTTATGTAATATTACCATAAGCTGAATATGACGACAAAACTATGATGTGTGCCGAAGCTCTCTTGATAGAATACCAAAAGGGTGCAGTACTCCCTGATGCTTTGTAAGGGACATGATAACGATGTTTAAAAGGCTTGAAAGGTTCTGATTCGCCCTATAAAACCATCATCAATCTCCTCTTTAGAATTCATATATGTTCTAAACTTTGCATAACATGAGAGTCATAATTTATAATTGATAATTAAATTGTGAATAAAATTAAACTCAAAGTTACAATTAAGCCATTAAATAAAGTTTCGCTTACGATTTCAGGGGCAAAGTCAAGTTCATGGTTCCCTGTGGTCCATATCCAAGGTTGATAAGCAGCAATTCTTTCGACCATCCTTCCCCATGTATCCCACCTAACATTATCATGATATGGGTGATTATCTGCATAAGAGAGGTCTCCAACATACAACACAGCTTGTCCTTTATGAGGATTTGATTCGTAATGAGCAAGGGTCCTGTTTGAATCTGAAGTCTGACCCAGATCCCCTGCAAAGAAAACCCCATCATCTAAAATTAATTTTGGCAAGCTTAAACCTCAATGGCAAAATTACTAAGTTAACAAAAAGCAAGTGTAAAACAACCAAATATAATAGTTTTGAGAGAATATAAACTTGCCCATTAGACCAAATGTATAAGGCACATCAGGGTGAATATCAGGAGGAGTCATGAACCAAAATTGCCTTATAGTATGCCCAATTCCAATCATATAATAATACTTTGTATTAAACTGCCAAAACGAAAATCTTGAGTTAACAATTGGATTAATATATGAAAGAAAAAGGAAAATGTTATCATCACTCTTTTTGAAAAAGTAAACATTTATCATATTAAAAATTTAAAAGTATAATAAATATTGTTTTTTCAATGAAAATTTACTTAAAATCAATCTATAAGACTGATATTCGGCAGAAAAATATTTCTGTGACCAATTGATTAATTTGAGTGAATTAATGATTAATATTATTCTCTGTGTTTTCCTCCATTAGAAGAACCATAACATGAAGCAATTAATGATCTCTTACCTCCAAATCTCTAAGGGTGCAGTGATGAATAAAACCAGATGAGTAATTAAAGTATCTATAGGTAACATAATTTCCCTTGGCCTCCTTGTGGGTGGAGTTCTCACTCCAATAACGCACTACACTCTTTCCTGGTTCATCCATAGTGACCCATGAAACGATCATAGCCTTTCCCACATGATCACCTTGTGTTATGTGAACCTATAAAACAAAGACCAACATTGTTGTTCGCCACAAAATGAAGACATTAATTAATTAATGCCACGTTTATAGGAGGAAATCAAAGTCGAGAGGTACCTGCTGAGGAGCATTATAGCCAAGAGGGACTTGAAATACATCACTATCGAGTGGCATGTCTTCACTACTCTCAGTCTTTCTAATGAAAGTGCTTGTCTTGCCTCCATTACAAACAACCACATTCAAAAGAAGCAAAACCAAAGCAAAACAAGAGTAACTCTTCATACCCCCCATGTGTCAATTTCTAATCCCTTTATGATGTGTTGAAGTGTTTGTTTCAACACAGATCTTAATGTATTTATAGCAAAATAATAAAACAGAATGTGGTTATGCTAAGTCAGACACTATCATAAGACTCGGATTTCTCTTTGCCAAAGGACTTTCTTGCCCACTATTTTTATGAATATGATGCATCGTAACGGAAATTTGATAAGGTACCAACAATATACCAATTACATGATAACTCTCACATACAAAATCGGGAGTACAAGATTCCATAATTTAGATTTAAGCTTAAAAATATCTTTAATATCTGAAAAAAGACTTAATTTAATCTTAGAGCATGTTTGTTTCTCTTTTTAAAAATAGATTATATTTTATTTTTAAAAACAGAAATATATTTTTAAAAAGGAAAACAAACATGCTTTTAGTTTTTTAAAATTTTATCATTAGTTTTAGATTTCTCAAATTTTAAATTTTATAATTTTTTTATTGAAATGTCATACATCTTGTCATAGCGGTAATCATTTTAAGTGAAATATAATATAACATGATTACGTACTTATTATGTTACAACTAAGTGATAAGAGGAAATATTTTTAAATTTTTATTTATGAGAATGAAAATTAAAAAAGATAAAAGATAAAGAATGAAATCATATTTATAAAAACTAAAAATATATTTTATACTTAAACTTATTTTTTAAACTAAATTTAACTAATATCAACTCAAAAGATATAAATTTAAAATCAAAACTAGTTCATAGTTTATTTAACTGAAATTCACATTTTCAATCAGTTTTTAAAAGCTTGCGTTTTTATTTTTATTTTTTTTGTTTTAATGTGTCATTATTTGATAAGATGATTTTGCAACATTTCATTTAACTTTCTTTGTTTGTACTCTTAACCATTTTAATCAAAAATTATATGTCAAATAAGAAATTGTCATGTTTTATAAGAAATAAGTTTTTTTCGAAACGAGTATAAAGAATACCGTTGCATATTTAGATGCACATCAAATTACAATAAAATCATGTTTATCTTATTATAACATAGTTATGTAAAAAAATTTACATTTGAGTGTTTTAATTAAAATTAATTTTATTTTTAAACTCACATTTGAATTAACGTGATAAATTATAATTTTTATATTGAGTTAAAAAATTATATTAAATTATATTATCATTTTATTTTTGAAAGAAAATTTTAAAACATAATTTATGTTATTTTAAACTTTTTAAACAAAATAAATTGCATATAATCAAATTCATTCAAATACGATCAAACTCATACACAAATGAGAATGCAAGTGCAAATATAAATCTCCATGGCATCATTCTAGCAGCATCGTATGAAATCAGAATATCCTAACAACCCACTTTATTCAAAGATCACCACAAATAGCCAAATCCTATTTTTTTCTAACGAAAAACTAATTACAAAACAAAGCCATATATAGCAATATTGAAAAAAATATATCAATTGTCACTCTTATATGTGTAATCTTAATTTTTATTTAGTTTTTTTTTAAATAATAATATTATTAATTTAAGTAACAAACAAAAATTATTTAAAAAAGAATTACGACAAATATTTTAAAATAGTGATAGAGTAGTAATAACTGCAATATCAAAACAAAAAATTTAAACCAGAATCAGTAGCCACAATCCCACAAAAGTGTACCACAGTGTCCACTGCAATCCCTAAAGGAAATGTCATTTAGCTTGACGAATGAAGTTTTTAGTAGAAGCATACGAGTAATGAAAGTTGAGTTTCCAAATCTATTATCTCTTATTATTTAAAAAATAATAATAATAAGGGGGATTGAAGTTTTGAATCAAGTAAAATACATGACACTTAACAGTAATTGGTCACACCGAAAATAAATTGTTTTAGGTAAAACTATATATATAATGTCAAAAGTTCTCACTGTTTAGACTAAAAGATTAACGTTGCAATTATACTGAAGAGATATTCGATCACAGACCAAAAAATAATTATCAATTAAAATGACAAATAAAGATTTGACATAATTTAGACTTTGACAATATTTTGTGCAGATATGATTTGATCTTGGCAAATAGGATGATGCGTCTCCTTTGAATTTTGTTTTCTTAAAATACATTGTGATCAATGGAGATTAAAAGTTCATTAATGGAATGTCAATTGTAGTACATAATATTAAATGAAAACAAACACTATCCAAATCATCATTACAAAAGATAAAAAAGGAAAATGAAAAGGTTATTCAAGTTAAATATACTCATGAAGACCAACGATTAGAGGATGTTAAGATTTAGCGTGTTTTTTAATTGGATGTGACAAAATTGTTAAAAATTGATTGTGTACTATCAATTTCTATGAAAATTAATGTTAAAAAATTATTTAAATATGTCAATATATAAATCATTTTAAAATTATGATTGATAGTAGTGATGTGATATGTAAAGACCTGTTGCCTCAGAAAAGTGATTAACATAACTTAATTCTATGCATGTCATGTTACTACTAACAATAGTATGGTTTAAAAAAATATCTACAAAAATACATCATATTGATTATTGAACCTTCTTAAAAAGAAAATCATTTCATTTAGGAAAACTATTCGTTGAATCCGTATCAAATCATTCATATCAATTATAATAAGTTATTTATTTTATTTTATTTTTTCACTGTGGCTTGGATTTACCTCACCTTTTTGCATTTTGTTTCAGGGACTACTATTTTAAGGATCTCTCTCGTTGGACTTTCTATGTCTAAAACCGAAATCCAATCACAAATATTCTTGAGTAGTCTACGAGATGTTACTCAACTATTTTGTTACGAAGTAAAAACCCAGTGTGTTATCAACCTATCATGGTATAGTTTGTTAAATCACCTAAAATTATATATATAAAAAAACTTTTCGATACTATTGTTATACAATATTTTCCAAATTTTAAAAGTTTAAATAGATAAAATTAAAAAAAAAATGGATAGAGGAAAAAGGCAAAAATATGTTTTGATTCCATGAGCAACCGATGGCAATAGCAAGAGCTAATAGTCAATATGCAGAAGGTCCTGCCACATGATTAGACTAACCTAAATAATTATAGTTCTTCAATCTAAATATTCCAGCACTGTGCATCACAGAGTGGATTCCCCTCTGGTGCAACACCCACAAGTGTAGATAAGCCCCCACCAATATCATACATCAAATACCTTCACTGTTGGTGAGGAAAGAGTCATTTGCAACCAGCCATTCCCATATGGTCGTCAACCGCTGACGAGATCGCAATTTCCAAATGACATTCAAGACCACATCAGAATTTTCACCGTCACTAGGCGCAACGATTTCTTACGCTGAACGACTACAGAATCCCATTATTTGTGGGAAGCGAGCCAGCTGTGTCGAGAAGGGGATATGGGAATATATATATATATATATATATATATATATATAAGAATCCACATGCATAGAAGACTAGAGCAACTCAAAATATAATTATCATAAGAGATATGCTTATTAACCCATCAAAAGCCAACCCACCGTTTATGTTTGTTACTTCTTTTCTCATGTACGTTTCGAACATGGCATGTACAACGGAGTGAATCCCATCTCGACTAGGTCTCAATACAAGCAAGTATAATTATTGGAAGGCAAGTTTAAACATAAATTATCTATTAGTAAAATTTATAGACAATTAAATGATAGTAAAATTTATAGACAATTACATGATATAATGTTTACAGGAAAGTTGATGTTACCTAATATACACAAATTTCCAAGGGATGCAACTTATACAATAAGCTTTCCCATGCTCCGCATTACGAGTGTGTGTTTGGAAACTCACTAAAATCACTTTAAATCACGTTTTAAGATGAAGGTTATAACTTGTGGCATTAGAATGAATTCATGTTTGAGTGAATTTGACATAGTCCAAATACACCCACATCTATGACCAAATCGAGGTCACAATCTGATCGAGCAAAGCCATTTTCCTCCCACTGCTTGTTGTCATATCTCTTCTCGTTACTCCTGATAAACAAAAGAAAAGGTTTTAAAGAGGTCCAAAAGCCATATAAATATTTTTTATTTGAAAATTATTGAATACGGGAACATAATAATTATTAATTTGATCATGTACCTCAGGAGGATAAACTGCTGTAGTGGATTTCACTTCTGTAGGCACCAAAGAATCAGATTTTCTTGCTTCTGACTTCTCATTTGAAAATCTATTGATCACAAAAGCCTATGTTAGAAGCATTGCAAAAATTTTCACATGAATAATAACGCAGGAAAAGCAAGAAATATTTTATTGTTTAGACTGTATTCCATGAAAAAGCATTGAATTCGCTAATTGACAGCAATATAAAATCTAATTTCTATACGTAACCCATCTCTCAAGCAAATGGAAAAAACTAAATGAAATGTAACTGTCCATCTTAATATGATCAAACTTCATCTCGTTATCCAAGAAGCATAGTATGAAGTTACTAATGTTCAAATTCTAATGCATAGCAATTCAAAAGAAATCCAGAATGACATACGTCGAAAGTATGGTCACCCAAACAAGCTCTACTATATCCACCCAAAGAAGTCTTTGCTCAACCGGTATTACGCCATAAGTAACTAGATGAGCAAATGGCCACAACTTCCACCCTGCCTGTGTAAGGAAACGTAAGAAAGCATTAAAATTGCAAATAGCCATGTCCATTCCTCGTTTGAGCCCAATAAATAATAAATTGAACACATAATGATGCATGTCAAACGCATGAAGTATGTGGTACACAGCACCAAAATGGTGTCCATGTTTTAGGTTGTTCTCAAAGAAAAACAAGAACTGTTTCAATGCAACACATGAACTAGGATAACATAGAAGGTTCTCTTACCGTCAACATGGGAAAAAATGTTGCCTTCAATTCATTAAAAATACTAATAGGAGAATCAAGACGCAGGAGTCCGACAACCGTATAATAAATGCTGTTCCAAACTGCTGACCATGCAGTTTGATCGAAGGCAACTTTGGCAGGAACTACCCACCATTCTTTGTAAGGAAATAGCTCCTGGTTAAATGCAAAACCACTTAGTAGTATATCACCATAAAGTCAGAAATTTCAAGAACCAAACAGAACAAGAAAAAGAACATAATTACTATGCTCTACCTCACAAAACTGATAATAGTAATGAGAAAGAGAGCCATGCAAAGTAAAACCAACAAGCCCCGATCTGAACATCCGCGCACGGTCAAACTCAAAAAGAGGTTTTCCTTCAAAGCACTGCAAAATCAAGAGTAGTTAAACCACAACGCATTATAGAGAAAGATTGTATTGTCATGTTGACTAAATTGTAACTCACCTGTGCAATCCAATCCCCTACAGAGTAAACAACCCCACTAATCACCATCTTGGCAAAAACCGGATTTGTCTTGAGAGCTTCCTCATAAGCAGACCAGTTATGCTGGGGTGCGTATCTTAGTATCTCAAACAGTGTCCATCCCTATATGGTATAAAAAATTCATGAGTCCTAGCAAAAAATGAAAACCTCAACCTAAAAAACAGTAACATAAAACTTCAACCAGAATACCCAGTTAATCTAAATTAGTGACTATGAGACCTTTTAGAAGAACTAACGGAGATAGTTTATAACTTATATAAGTTTTTGGTAGCTTATTTTAATAAGCTTTTTGTGTAGCTTCTCAAAATAAGCTATTTTCAATTTATATTAATAAATTTCATAATCGAATTTATGTATAAACCTTCTTATGCAATAAAAGCTTATTGAATAAGTGCTTGATACTCGTGGAATACGAGCTTATAACGAGTAAATTAATTATACTTCATTAAAATGCTTATCCAAACGCACCCTAATGCGTGTTCGGTTTAAGAAGAAATAGATACTTTATTTTCCTACAACTGACTCTAAAATGAAGAACAAAAAGTTTATTTCTGAAAATAATCTCCAAAAGTATCATTCAATTACAGTTTAGTTTCTGAATTTATTTACGTGTTTAGCCTTGAAATTCATAAAATTAGTAACAACAAAGCCAAATTAAGTTCCCAAAACAAAATCATCAAACAAAACGCACTCAATTGAAGATAAGCCTCGTTCTTCGTTCAGTGTTTTCACTTACATGCCAGTAATCACTATCAATGGTGATAAGTTTGGTGATGGCAAAAGAACCAGCAGAAAGCACAATAGCAGCATTGATAGTTCTATCAATAAGCTTCTCCACGTTCTGCTCGCTCTCACCACCAACCAAACCCGAAGAAGACGGCGAAGAAGAAGAAGAAAACCCTTCCAACAATAACAAACCCTCGTTTGCTCCGAATCCACTCACTTGCGCCACCAATTCGCCATCTCCACCTTCCATCTCCACGTGCCCCCCCACTACGCCCTCTTGCTGGTCCGTGATATCATCGCTCTGCACCGATATCACGTCGAACTCCTCCACCGCCGAGTTCGCCACAAACGCGCGTTTGTTTCCCGAGAAAACGCGATTCCGGGACAATCTCGCCGCCGGAAAGCTCTGCGCATTGGGAATGGATTTCGCGTGCGGAGCGTTCGGCTTGGGTTTGGGAATCGATGGCAAGAAGCTGCGGGGAACGACGGCGCTGTGCACCGACGCCATGGCCGCAAGTGGCTGAGTTCTGAGTTCCGAGTCACGACTCTCGCCGCTGAGTTCGCTTCTCCGAGATTGGTGAACTGTGAAACGCGCGCGTTTATAGTCGTTTGGTGATCTGGTGTGGCGCGGTTGTGTGTGGTTTGGTACGACTTCGGAGAAAATGTTCAGATGTCTGTCTTTCGGCTTTTGACTTGCTATGTGGTTGGTTGAGAGTGAGGGGACGTAGGCTATTTAGTGGAATGCAAGATACGTGAGTTTTGTTGCGGTGATTCAGCTAATCTATGAATGTTTGGCCACATGAAATCGGAAATATGTGGACGAGTGAAATCCATTCGATATCATCAAATTTAAATAAATAAATAGAGGCGGCTAGAAGTAGAAACATTTTTGTCTATTTTTCAAAAAATACATATTTGTGACAAGGATGAAATGAAAACAATTTCTGCATTACCAACATATAACATATTTACTTTAAAGAATTACTGAGAATAAATATATTAAGAGGATGTATATGTAAAATATTTCAGCTACCGTCAATAATAATCATTTTTTAATGTATGTTAAATAACATATCATAAAAAAATTCAATAATTTTAATTAAAATTTTAAAATATCATAAATTAATAATATTAAATTATATAAATTTTAATAAAAATGTTTATAATTTTTTATTATATATCTTTAAGCATACGTTTAAAAATCATTATAAAAATTATATGCATCGTATATAACTAAAGTACAAAGTTAAAATATTTTCGTCAAGAGAAAAATTATATCCATTTTGGTAACATTATTATTTTCGGTGAACACCAAAAAAATATATAATTAAAATATTATTTTGAAAACACGTGTGAATTTTTAATACGTAGATTGTTCAAATGAAATTTTAATTTTGTCTAGAAAATGGTAAAACGAGTCGTGACATTGCAAATTAGTTTTGCATATATGTAAAATATGATTAACAGGGGTACTGTTTAATGGAAAGGGCTAATTTTCTGCAATGTCGATTGATTTTTTTATTGAAAGAGGTTCTCACATATAGTGTTTGAGTGCTTCGAGTGGAATCATATCCTATAGGGAAATTTTGCGGGAACTAGAAAATACATATACAGGTGAAATATAAACAGCCATGTGTAAATTAAATATTACGAGCAAAAAAGACTGTTGAGAAAGCGTTAACAAAAAACAAAAACAAATATAAGATCATGCCATGTTTAAAATCAGATAATAAAAATAGTACCAAAAGCAATAAAAAGACATAAAATATGGGATAGATATATTCATTTTAAGAAATAAGTTGTTTAAAATATTGCAAGACTAGTTGTTAATTTGAGTTTTTGTTTATTTGATCCAGAGCATTATAATATAGGCAAGCTATATCAGTAATTGTTGCTCTTTTTAAATTGCAATTATCGGTATTCAATAGATTTCATCTAGAAATATTGTTTATCACCACCACCAACAATAATAAATCAATATAATGAGTGCCATGTCTACATGATGGAGCTCTATCGAAGTTTCATGAAAATTTTTTATCGTTAATATGATATAAGAATCTCTAGAATGAGAGAATCTCTTGCTAAGGATTCATTCCAGGCACGCATCATCCGTGGGCCCAACACTGACTCTTCCTCATCCACAAGCTTGAGCCTATGTGTTCACATGAATACTATCGAAGCATCCTGTTTCCTCAGCCTACGTTACTATCAAACAATAGGCTAATGGTTCTATCATGGGTAGCTTATTTTAACACATTTTGTAGGCCAATTTAATACAAGCCATTCAATTAATTGTTAAGGTTATGGCTAAGTATAAGATATTTTCTGTTGGGTGTTTAAAATACTCGTAACAAAAATATGTAGACAAATAAATGCAAGTTGAAATTTTGATTCAGGTATTGTGGTCCGAAGTGTGAGCTGAGGTGGTTTAACTCCAGCCTTACTCCGATTAAGAAGAGGCTAGTACTATTTACTTGTAGTATTATATTTGAAAGAGTAATTAATATTTTTTATATTTTTAATTTATTTTAAATGTTTTAAGTATAGCTTATTAAAATAGGTTATTTTTAATTTAAGTTAATAAAATATATCATTAAGTTTATTATATAAATTAACATTTAAATTAGCTTTATATCCAAATACTTGTTGCCGAGCTTCTAGCCTTGTGGCCTACCCGGCTAACTGGTGGTCGTTGACTGGGAATAGAATTGAATGTTGAAGAGACCAAACTTAATTATCTTATGCTTCAGCCTAGTTATTGTGGCGTAGGGAGATACTTTATATTAGTTTAATTTCTCAAGTAGTGCTTCGGATATGGGATTTGATTAGAACAAAAACAAAAATATATATCCTCATCGTTTCAATCCATGATGTGGTTGTGGTGCAGAGTATGAAACGAAATCCTTCTTTGTCTGCAACCACAAGTGGTTAAATGCAAAGTAAATGGTATCAATTCCTCTCCACAAATAAAATATGGAATTTCGTCGCATGTCCATTCATTGATATACTATTATTCAGCACATCAAAAGTACGTGAAGTTATTAGAAATTGTCTCTTGTTTAGATATATCTTTCATTGTGCCATTGGATGTGATAGAAAACCCAACAAAACTTTCGCACTTAGCCTTTCATAATTTAGTGTGTATTTGAACATATGTTAAATTATGTTTTAACGTTAAAACTGGCACAGGACCTTCCATCGACAGTGGGCCTATTCTATCCTTACCTTTATTCTACTGAAGCGTAACGTAAAACTTTTCTTGTTGCATTTTTTTGGTTTGTACAACAAAATCAGGCTGGTGCCGCATGTATTCAGCGTATGCGTATATATAACATACGGAAATGTTTTCTAAACATCCTCGGAGGGGGTGGGCACCAGTTGGTTTCAATTGGATTCGACTCAAAAAATTTAGAACTGAAGTAATCTCGGTATAGCATGATCTATGAGACACCTATCAGATTAAACAAGTTAGGTGAGTGAGTTTAAACGGGTTTTGACTAAAACATAGTTTAGGTCATTTTTTGCACCTTAGATCTTATTTCCTGATTTGTGAAGTTTGCATTTGAACGACATTATTGCCGGTGGTGTTAGTGTTTTCCTCTATATTTTTCATATCATGGTATTATAATTTAGATTACGTAAACAAAGCAAAGAAGAACTAATGAGTGTGTAAGACAAGTTTATATATGACCAGAAGAGTAGGAAGTCATAGTTAATGAGGTCTGGTATGAGTGAAGTAAGAAAATTAACAAAAGATGGTCCAATTCAGACGAGGAGGAGAAGCAACGAAAATGAGCGTTGAAGTTTGAAAAAACATGTAACATAAAAATGTGTAAAGGACTGTTAAAAATCTCTGGATGTGATGAAGAGATGAATTTCTATTACCAAAAAATTAGAGAAATAACGGAGGAAAGAGATTGAATTGTTAGTCTTATTAATTGAAACATTAAACTATTGGAACGGAGATACTCAAGGTTAGACCCGTAGTACGAAGCCATGAAAATTGAAAAAGAAGGTGGGTCGTTACCTTTTTTGGGAATGAAATTACTTTCTCATGAATTGTCCTTGTGTTGTGTGTGGTAAGCTCAAGAAGACATACATTTTTCGGTTCGGATCACTTAGAGTATATTTTATTATTGTTTTAAAAATACAATACAATTTTATATTGAATTTTATTTTTAAAAATAAAAAATTGTTTTTAAAAAGGAAAACAAGCACTTCCTTAACGACATATTTTGGTGCGAAACCGCATTCTGATTGGATATAACTGAAATTTTAAAAATATTTACCTGACACCCACTCGTTACAAAGAGAGAGTTAATTTCTGGGGATAAAGAGAGAGAAGAGAAATACTTATTTAATAATAACTCCTGTTTTTTTAGAGTTTTTATATAAGAGAAATATTTTATAAATTCTTTAAAACTTTCTTAAATACATATTTTTAAGTTTTTTTTAATTTATTTTTTATTAACCATCATTTTTTATTTTCTTTTTCTTTATCTTTTAAATTCTTTCATTTGTCTCTGTCTAAAATATTAGTTTTGTTTATGAGTTTCGAAAAGAGAAATGAAAAATTTACAACGTAATATTTATGTTTATAACTTTTAATAAAAATTAATTTAAATCAAAATATAGAAGTTAACATTTTTTATGTTACAATTTGTAGTGGTATGACATGATAATGTCCTTGTTTTCGTTATTTTCACCAACAAAACTTGTTTATGAATTTTGCGAGTGACTTTATTTAATTTAGTTCATCACCCCCCCCCCCCCCCCGGCCCTTTTCTTCAACTAAGGTTTATGTACAGGGTGAGACACTTCCAAATGCATGAGAATTTGGAACATCTTGGCTTGATGGAAAGAGTTGTGAAGCCATTTTTCAGTACTACTTACAATTCTTTATTCTACTAAAAAATATGGAATTTTCATCTTTTATAAAAGAATCGCCATTCTCAATATCATAGCCACTTTTGAGAAGAAATAGAATAATCAGTTTCCATCATACATGTTCTAAGACCACTAGTTCTCACAAATCACTCTTTCGCTAATGTGATTTTAGGGTTAAAATTTTTAAATTTTACAAACTAACTTATCAAGTTATTTCATAACTACATAACTGTTAAAAAACTACTTTAAAATTAATAATTTTTAATATATATTAAAAGACATACAATAAAAATTTACACGATAATTTTTTAATAAAAACATAATAAATTAAAAACCATACAATAATATTAAATTCATAATTTTTAGTAAAATTTTATTATTCATTAATTTTTTGTGTGCATGTATGTTACAAAAATTGTTAAATAAAAAAAATTAAAATGACAGGTAAAATATGAAGTGAACAACAATGTATAGCATTTTTTTTTCAGTGCAAATCAATAATAATCTGGAGGTACAACTCCTTGGATATCATAATTGTATAGCTTTTTCACCGGATTATTATCGGAAGAAAAGAGAAGAAAAAAAAAATGGAGACATGACGGCTGAGGCAACGGTCTGATGAAATGTGCGAACGGTGATTGTGATACACCGCGAAACACTAGATCTGCGGGCCGTGACCTCTCTGAACTCCATACTCGAACTCGTTCATCGAACTCAGCATACACACAGTCGCTCACTCACAGTACCAACCATTCTTCCTTCTCTCTTTCTCTCTCTCTGATTTCGATGGATCTCTGGTGATTCTTTAGATCCAGCATGGCCAACTTCCTCGCTCAGTTTCAGACTATTAAGAACACCTCCGATCGCCTCGTCATTTCAGGTATTTCCTTACTATTTTCGTTCCATCGTTCTGTAATCTAAGATCCATCTCTTTCCTGCATTCTAAGTATTCTCCAAATGCACAATCATATAGAAATGTTCCGTTTC